CACATCCACATATCCATCCCCCCACACATCCACCCCCCCACACATCCATCCACCTAGCCATCCACCCTCCATCGATCCATCCAACCATACCTATCTATCTATCTCTATCTATCTATCATCTATCTATCATCTATCTATCTACCTAATCTATCAACTATCATCTATATATCTTCTCTCTCCCTCTCTCTCTCCATTACCTCCAAAAGGCTCAGTTAAAGTTCCCAGGGAAAACCATGTTAAGTCAGAGAAAACTGAGGATATCACGAGGCCCTGAGTTATTTTAACATATTGCCTTTTTTTCATATTAACTAACCACCTGCTCAGGAAAGATTCTGAAGCTGTACATATTTCAACATTTGAGACATTTTTTCCCCTCATAATGTCAAAACCTAAGATTTATAAAACATGATATTATACAAATAAAGTACTGTCATTTAATTCAGTAAAACAAGTATTTCCCCACTGTAACATGAAGCCTCAGCAATGTCAGTGACTCATCCAGGTCCCAGTGGCCACACACCAGCTCCAGAGAGGACACTGGCCAGCTCTTCTGATCCCTGTCCTTAGTTGCTTATGGCTCCAACATCTTATGAAAATAACCCTGAAGTCCACTCACCAATGAAGACAGCCCCGTGAACTAGGGGAAGCTGAGTACCTGAATTCAGACCCCAGGGGCTGTTCACGGCAGCGTCTGCGTACCTGGTCAAACAGCTCGAAGAGCTTGGCGCTGGGCTGGTGGATGGTGCAGATGATGGACCGCCCTCCTTGAGCCAGCCCTTTCAGCAGGGAGACCACTTGGTAGCAGGAGGAGCTGTCCAGGCCGCTGCAAGTCAGGGGGCACCATGAGACTTTTGTGGGGCCCCCAAACCATGCCCATATTCAAAGTGCACTGGGTAGGTCTGGGTGCAAGCCTGGGCCCATGGGTGTCTCCTAGTCTCAGACAGGGAGAGTGGGGCAAGTCAGGTTCTGCTCTGTGACCCCAAAGCAGCTGGGGAAAAAGATGGGCGGCCGGGGGAGACCAGGGCCCTTCCCCCCGCTGCCCAAGTACCTGGTTGGCTCGTCGAAGAACATGACGGGAGGGTTGTTCACCAGCTCCAGCGCAATGGCCAGGCGCTTCCTCTGCCCGCCCGAGAGGTTTCCAGTGCGCATGTTGGCACAAGACAGCAAGCCCAGAGCCATCAGGATCTCCTTGACCTGGGGGATGGGGCAGAGCCTGAGTGGCCATCAGGGATCTTCCACCACATGTCATCACCTCCAGCGCCCACATGGAAACCTGCTGCCTCCCCCACCCAGCTCCAGACACACACAGATCGATGCAACTCCCACCCCAGGCTGCCCATTTCCAAGTCTAAGGTCCTGATTTGGCCCTGGGAAGCTGAGAAACAGTGGTGAAGCCAGGCCTGCCTGGGCAGAGTCCCTGTCCTGCCTCCTTCTGTGACCTCCACTTGTGAGCCTTCACTTGTAAATCTGCACAGTAAACATCTGTAGAATGGGTGGATCGGTGGACACATAGATAAAGAGATGATCAGGTTTCTGACCAGCACAAAGAGAGGACCACCTAGACGGTGAAATGAGATAATGAAAGTGCTTGGCAGATGTGAGCATTTAGTCGACAGCAGCTCCTGCAGACACACAACCATACAGGCCTGGCCTCTCGGAAAGAAGGAACGGAGCCCCATTTGCACTTGTCAATAGGAAATCAAGGTCTCTGCAGGAGCAGCAAGACCATGAAAATGCTTGAAGCAGCCAGGCCCTCCCACAGCAGCCCCAGTGCCCGCCTGGCTTGCAGGCTGGCCACTGAGGTACAAACAGTCCACTGTCTGACAGGATTATCGATCCAGTATTGACTCAGGGAACAGAGAGCAAGCAGACTTCAGGGCAGGCGGTGGCACCAGTTTCAGGTGCAGCCCAGCATCTTCTCAGAGGTCAGCTGGTGGCCTCCCCACCTCCACACCAGGCTCACCTCCCAGGGGGTCCCACCATAATTTGCCCAGCCATCATCTCAGCCCTTGGTGGCTCCTGAGCCCTTTTGGGTGGACCCAGTCCAGCAGCTTCTCTGGCAGATGAGGTCATCCAAAAAGAGAAAACTCACAAGGAAGAAAATTTCCATCCGGCTCTAGAATTACTTAAGCAGAGTCGATATAAGATTCAGGTTTGGTGACAGAAAGAGCCAGGACACTGCTGCTCCTCAGGCTGGGAAGCAGGCGGTCGGACAGGCCTGGGTTTGAATCCTGCTCATCCTTTCCTTTGTTGATCCCTAAACCCCACTCCTCTGCCTCTTCTAGAATGTTGTGTCTTTGAGGGACACCAACCTAGAAATGAGGTCAGTGAGGTCACTCAGGAAAGGCTGTCAGGGTGGGGCAGGTGGGGATGGCTCTTCCTGGCACACTTCCCTCCTGTGCAGACAGAGCCACGAGCCACAGTTATAGGACAAATAGCCACGCTGGTCATTCTAGGCTCACTCTGGGGCCATCACAAACATGGCACATGCCCTCTGTCTGTCCATCTGTTTCCTTGGAGGGCTCAGTGCTGTGGCCGAGCGCCCCTCAGCCGCTATGGAGAGGATGCTGGGAGTGGAGAGGCCGAATGCCGATGCTTCCCTTTCTCCGCCCATCCAGAGTGTTCCCTCCAGTGGGCCCCCGACAGTGACACTCTGCAGATCAGTTTTGTTTCAAAACTAGTCAGAGGGGCTCCTGAGGAAGCCCCTCCCTGGAGGCTGAGGGCTGAGGCTGCTTTTCTGGGAAATGCTGAAGTCCAGGCAACACATTCCACTTGGGCGGGAATGCTCCGGCCACGCAGGGAGCTGCCACGCAGGGAGCTGGAGGAAAGTGAGTCAGCGCATTTGACAGGCTTCTTATCCTTAAAATAATCACACAGTCCCCCTGAAGGATCCTGGGGGCCCGGCTGGCCCGGCTGGAGACTTCCAGTGAGAAGGTGCGCAGGGCCCAAGGACACCGGTTGGCCCTTGGGGAGGTTCACGTCCTTGCTCAAGCCTCATCAGACGAATCTGGGGAGGGTTCGGGCTCGGTCCGACAGAATGAGTGAGTGCAACGGGAACCGCACGGGCCTCTCTGCAGGGCTGTGTCTTAGGCCGGGCACCTGGGGGACATGCTCTCGGGCGGGCCCTCCCAGGAGATACGTCCATTCCCGACCAGAAAACTGCACCACGCCTGTCCTTTCCGCCCGAGGAGGCAGAGAGGGCCCGGTGGCCTTCCCCCGGGACCCTGACCAGTTACCTCGGGCACTGCCTCAGCGCTCTGGGCTGCCGTCGGTAAGAGGGAGTGGGAGGCCAGGCCAACCTGCCTTCGGGGCTGCGTGAGGCGGATTAGACGACATCAGCTCCCCGGATGGGGCTGGAAGCTGCCTCTGAAGGTCATGATGTGACAGAGAGAGCTGGTGCAGGAGGCAAAGGGAGGCCGCTGTGCTCTCAATATAGCAAGTCAGCCGAGGGGCACACTCGTCCTCCCAGCCAGCAAAGACTACTGCCTTCCTCAGCCCTTCTCCCACGTGGAGAGGCTGGTCCATGCGGGTCCCGCCGCGGGGCAGCCCTCCGTGGCCTGCTTACTTATGGCTCGCTCCTGTGCCCCGCAGCTCAGACACCTTAGGGCACCCTCTGAAATGGCCTCGCGCCGCCCCAAAGGCAGCTGGGGCCAGCCTCCCACTCCCTCCTCGCAGACGGAAGCCCGCGCTGCAGGCAGTGGCTCGAAGTCACCAGTGGGTCCTGGGACCCCCTTTGCCGTGCCGTGCCCCCTTTGGGCTGTTCGCACCAAATCCAGTTTCCTTCTTCACCACACCCCAAATTGGAGGTTCCTATTGGTGTTAAATTGACGCCAACGGCCTTCGGTTGTCAAGGGACGGAAACACGCGTGGTTCCCACATTTCCCACATCTCTGCTTCGGGTTCCGTTAAATCCACTATTCCTTTCCAGCTCAGCATAGAAGAGTTCCACGTGCTATGCCTTCAGCAGCAACGAGTTCCACGGGCCACAGAAGTGGGCTCTCCCACCCACTGCACAGGTAACCCTCCCTCCCTCGATTTCAGGGCTAACCCCTAAGAGTTCTGGAGGCTGCAGTGGGGCGAGGCGAGGACAGAGAGGGTGAGGAGGGGGCCTAGAGATGCCAGCATTGCTCTCCATACCAAGGAGGGTCACATTTATGTAACAGTAACTATTTATGTGGACCAGGAGAGGGAGCGGCCATAAATAGAATTGCTATTAGTATTTCCTTAGCGTGCATAAGAGTATTCTATTAGTGATTCCAGTTTCCATCGAGACATGAAGAGCTGCGTTGCACCACTGGGGTAACCCCACAGACCCTACTCTTCCTGCTGCTGGGCTGTGGCCCCAGGGCCTTAGAAGACAAGATGCTATTTTATCAGTGGAATTTTACCAAATTCTATTCTTATACTGAAAATGCCACTCTCACTCACTGTGGAGTGGAGAGGAAGAGGCTGAGTTTCCCTTAGATGTGTGTATGTATAAATTGGTCTCCACCCCCCAAAAAATGGGGCTTTCTGGTGCTCCCCACTCGATCTGCTTACCCAGCGCCCTCCCTGCTCCCTGGGGTTTGAGGAGTAATCCGTGAAAGGGATTAGAAAACAGTCCTACTCACCCTGGAAACCTGTTTAATTTATTTTTTTAAAGGCTGGTTAATAACACGTGAGCATCAAATTTCTTCTTGGGAGTGTGTGTGGGTGGAGGCTGGTTATTTTTAAATGAGTGACTAACCATCTTCATTGCTAGTATTTTATAAAAACAGTTGAGAATGAAGCATATTAAACACGAAAAGGGACAGCGCTTAGGCTGACCCTGAGGCCAGGCCTTCTGGCCACCTAAGCTCTCAGGCTGGTGTCCCGCTGCGTCCTTGCCCTGTTCCTGTGGCAGTGCCAGGACACAGAGTCAAGGCTGTGGCCCCAGCGGCAGAGGGCCAGTCCAGGCTGCCAGGTAAGAGTGCAGCACACTGAGATGTCACTGTCCCCCACACACAGAAGGCAAGGCGACAAACCAGCAACACCAGCACCAAAACGTGTTTGCCAACTGCAGTTCATGCACTTTCTGGACCACTTGTGGTCCCAAGGCACACACTTACCATCTCCCTCCTGCCTTCATCTTTCTCCTGGAGCTTCAGATGTGCAGACACCTACACGGGATGCGGGGATACAGTGTGGAGTCAGAACAGATGGCCCTTGGCAGGACAAACCTCACAAGCCACACCACAGGCCAAGAGCCCCAGTGGCGGGAAGAAAACTCTTGGAGGAGGTCCTGGCTTCCCACCTCCCTTGTCTCAGCAAAGGTGGGGTCTAGGACAGCAGTGTGTGTCTGGGGTGCTTCCTTCTTTGGAAGGGGTCCCCACATCAGTGGGGTCAATAACTTTTTCAGGAATTTGACCTTGATTTTGCCATCCAGGGTCTATGAGAACCCAGGGTCTTTGGGCTATGTGAGTGCAGGGCCTAGGCCTAGTTCTCTCTGTCGAATTTGCTGCTGTGCCCATGAAAGAAGTTAGATGTGGGCAACTGAGAGATAAGGAAACCTCAGGCTTCAGGGGCTTGAAGACTATCGATGTATATTTAGGAATTTCACAAGCCACCTGTTAAACTGTTGATAGCTTAAAGCTATCCATTGCTCAACACAGCAGATTTGAGAGCATTTACACCACAGAAATTGGCAAATGCTACAAAACAGGTCTCTGGCTTTGTTGTTGTTTTGTTTGAGATCCTGGTTGCCCACACACCCCTGGGCCCTTCACCCTGCTTGGTAAAACCTTGAGTAGTCAACATCACGCCCCAAGTCAGCCTTGGTTCTGCTTTGCCAACTTCTGTGGCTTTGGGAAACAAGCCTCAGTTTCCTCACAGGTACAATGGTGAGGTTAGAACCTGCCCCCTGGTGAGCTGGTAAAGTTGCCATGAGGATCAAGGGCAAACTGAGACACAGGGGAGAGTAGAGAAGAGACTACAGTCCCAGAGTCAGACAGAGCCAGGCCTAGGTCAGGTTGGTCAAGCCAGCTGCTTGCCCTGTGACACCAAGTGTCACTTCTTGGTTGGCCTGGTGGTTGTGAGGGTAAGATGCAACACATGCAAATGCACAACCCACAGCTGGTAGCCAATATCACCCCTGCGTGTGTGACAGGACCTCAAAAAGTAAAAGATATCATGGCTTTATGTTAAAATCTCATTTAATTTAATTCCGAAAATAAATGGATTTTATAGCAGAGCCTGGTGAGAAGTTAGGGGGAGGAGGGAGATGACAACAGGAGTCACCAATCTTGTTTGCAAAAGAAAGCAGCAAGTCAGCCAGAAATCAAAATACGGTTTCTCTCTCGTCACCTCAGATGAGACCAGTGGCAAGGCAGGAGTCAATGGGCTGTGCAAAGCTCCTGTCTGCTAAACTCACTGCTCTGTCTGCAAGCTCCTCCTAAGTTCCCTGCGCTCTTGCCAGATAAACAATCAGGGCCACCAGGGCACATGCCTTCTCGGGAAGCCAGCCAGGGGAGAGGTGTGTCCTGACTTACAGAACACTGAGTCCCAGGGACAACGGGAGGAGCAACCCCGCAGAGCCCTTCTCTCTGTCTCCCCACAAAGCAGGTAAGGGACCAAATCACATATCTGACACCCTACTCTGCTTCCCTTTGCTAAGATCTCCTTGGAGTTGGCGTTGGGAGGAAAGGCTGGGCAGCCACCACTCTCTGATGCCAGGGAGAGGAAGTGAAGAGCACAGGGCAAGACCTTTTTCCCAGGCTGGAAAACCAAGGCGAACCCCGTCCATTGACCAGGGTGCAAGGCAGACAGGCTGAGAATGGTGGGTAACATGCCAGGAGTGACCCAGAGGCCCTGCCTTTCACAGCAGATGAGGGGAAAGCAGGAAACTAAGCAGCCTTGTGGCAAACGCCCCGTGATGAGCAACGGGGGGCTTATGGGCCTTCCCATCTCCTCTCAGTGGGAGACATTCTAGCGGCTTCCACTGTCCACAGGTGGGTAAATGTGGTCCCTGTCGGCGTGGGCGGGGCCTCTGAAAAACTGGCTCTGGAAGCTCAGGTCAGGGCACTTGGCTGGGTTGTGGTCTGTTCAAAGAGCATGAGGGCCACGCCATACTGAACCCCAATGTACAGGATGCCCTGGGCCACCAGCTCACTCTGGAGGCTGCCTTTCTCACACGTTTTTGAAGGATTACATGTTTGGTGACTATTGGGCTACATGAGCTCAGGGCCTAGGATCCAGCAGGTGGTCAGCAAACGCTGGTCTCACTCCCCCGCCCAGCAGGGGATGACACCCTCGTGGCCCTAACTCAGCACCAGCCTGATTGGAAGGGCAGACCCTCGGTCTGAGGGGTAGGACTGGGGTCACCTTGGAAGGGGTCACCCACATCAGTCAGGTCAATAGCTTTCTCAGGAATCTGACCTTAATTTTGCCATCCAGGGTCTAGGAGAAGCCAGGGTCTGGGGGTTAGTTGTCAGTGCAGCTGTCTAACCAGCAGGGCTGGAGTGACACTCCGCTGGAGGCACGGGGCCGGCAGAGCCCCGTCCCACACTGGGCCCTGCCCACTACCCGAGGGGCAGCAGCTCACCATCATCGCCTCCTGCACCGTGAGGTTCGGCAGCAGCATGTCGTCCTGCATGATGTAGCAGGACACCTTCCGGAAGCTGCGCAGGTCCCGGGGCATGCCGTTGATGAGGATGGCCCCCTTCATGCCGGTCTCCCTGCAAGGCCAGGAGAGGGCCGGTCAGCCCAGCTCCTGCTCCTGCTTCCCCCAGGGCTGGGGGGCCTGAGAGAGAGGCGGCCCCGCCCAGCCCCTTCCCACGTGGATGGTTTGCCACAGAGACGGAGGAGGAAGGACAGAGACCCAGGACAGCCTCAGCACTCGCAGGAAGGAGCCACAGGGAGAAAATGCCCGGCACAGAAAGGGGTGGAGGGAGGCCTCCCTGGGATGGCATAGGTGTAACAGGTGCCCGCTGGCAGGCAGCGATGGGAGCGGATGCCCCTGCACGCAGCCACAGGTTAGATGCACACCCCTGGCTTTTCGGGGTGGTTCTGAGGTTGGCTTCTGAGCAATCCTGTATGTAGCTGAGGTTATACTGGCTGCCCCAAAGGCCAAGACTCTGCAGTCAGGGGTGTGGCCGCTACGTCAGACCCAGTTCCCCAGGGCCCGGCTCCGATGCTGACTGGGAGGGAACACAGCAGGGTCCCTGGGCTCACGTGTCTCCAAGAGCAGGGGGCCTGCGCCCTGGACCCACTCGGCCAAGTGCACGGTCCTTCTCCACGGGAAAAGTTGTGCTCTGTGACCATAGGGGACAGGTTGGGCGTCCATGTGTACTTTGGAAACGGAAGGGGCACTGCCCCCCTCCCTCACTGGCAGACCCGGTGCGTCTCCGTGGCCAGAGGCTCTTCTGGGTGCGTCAGCTCAGCCTGGGGAGGCGGTGGGAACCACAGCCAGTCTGTCCCACGACCTCCCTCCCCGGGGCGCGGAGCATCCGTCTCCACTGCCATGTTGCAATGACCAGGTGCTGCCTTTGGATGTTTCAATGTTGTTTTCTCCCCCGGGCTGATTCCTTCACAGATTATAAAGATTCTTAAGCACCCCCATCCCCTCGAGGCTTCACTGGAGCCCGCACAGAACCTTAAGAAGTGATGGGCAGACTGCAGTGGCTGCCACAGTGCCACCTATGGCGGGGATCATGTTCTCGGCAGGGTGTGCTCACCTGTATCCGGCCAGGATGTTCATGAGCGTGGACTTCCCAGCCCCAGAGGGACCCATGATGGCCACCAGCTCCCCGCTGCTGAATTTGCCAGAAATTCCTTTCAGAAGGGTCTTGTATCCTGCAAAAAAAAGCAGATCACATTCGCTCTCTTACTATCACGGGACCTGTCGATTTTATCCCCAGTGCCCTTCAGGTAAACACACAGTACATTTGACCGTGGATCTCAGGCCAAAGGCTGGATTTTTCACACTTCGACTGCATCTCGTGGGCTACGTTAATGACAGTTCCCAGTAGGTGCACAGTGCTTTAGACTGGACAAGGCGCTCTCACACGCACTATCTGGGGTGCCAGGAGTCTACCATTCTCCTTCCGGGGTGAGGAAGCAGGAGTCCCGGGGGCTGGGGGCTTGTCCAGGCCCCCACAGCCAGCATGAGCGGATCCTGACCGAGGGCCATGCCACCGGCCACCCTGCTTCTGCCCCCATGATGGTTAACTAAATGATTATTTTATTTTTTCCATTTATGAATTTTTATTTATAATTTATGCGAATACAAATTATTCATGTAGGATTTATTTGTAAATCATTACTCTAATATATTAATTAACTGATAATTAAAAGTGTACCATTCTGCAGCCACATCAAATGTCTTTGGAGTTTCTGCCAAGTCTCCATCCGAAAGCTTTGTAAAAGGACCAAAAATGTACATGTCCTACCCAGAGCCACAGGAATTCTTTTTTTAGTGGACTGTTCGAAGGTATGATAAAGAACAAAATAGAAGAAACTGGATTTGTGGACCAAGACTCCTAATTCAGAGCCATTTCTTAGCTCCTGAGAAACATTCCGAGAACATGCCCTTAACTGACCAGGACCACACAAGTGCAGCTTTTCTGCTCCTGCACGATGCTTAGGGGCCTGATGAGAAAAGGGCGGGGGGTGCCCCACCAGATCCCATTCTCTCCCCAGCTCGAGGCTGGATGCTCCCTGGGACCCAGACCTGTAATGTTTATTTGAGCCTTGGCCAGGGACTGGGGAGTTCCTGTCTTCCACTGATAAGTCACTTGAACACCCAAACTGTCACCAGGTGCCACCTTGATTCAGATGGGGAGTCCCCAAGGCCTTGTTTAATCAGGCAGAGAGAAGCGGAAACAAAGGCAGGAAGCCTGTGGCCCTGCGATGTGGCTCATTACAGAGAGCGACCGTCGCCTGGGGAGGGCTGAGATAGTTGTCCCCGTGGCAAAGGGGCAGAGGAACAACCGGAGAGCATCTAGAAGAGTAGCTCAGAACTGCAAATGAGCCAGATGCCTGCCAATGGGACATCCATGACGCTAGGTCAGCAAACGCTGGCAGGTGAGAGTTAAAGGAGATTCACGCATGTGAGGGGACAGGAACCCCAAAGGACAGACAGAAGGGCTGGGGAGAGCAGAGACCCCTCCTCTGCAAGGTCAAACTCCCAGTGCAGCAGCTCTGAATCAGGATGGAGCTCTGCTGGGCCAGGGGCTCTGGGACTTGGGCCACAGGGGGTCTGTCTGACATCACTGAGGGAGCATTAAATGCCAGGCACACCAGACATCTGCTCATTACTGCCTCTTGTCAGTTTGGGTCCAGAGCAGGGTCACTCCAGAGCAAACCTTCCTATAAGTTCTTTTTCTCAAAGTTCAAGGCTGATCCCCAGCTGGTCCCCTGTAAACCAGGGGGGCAGCCTGAGGAAGGCGACGCATCGCTGAGATGTCCATGGCCACTCGGAGGCCAAGCGCAGTCTACACGTGGGTCACGATGGCCGGAGGCAGCCTTGCTTCCAGGACTCTGAGAGATCCCTCCCTCCGGGCAGAGTCCATGGGCACTGCTCTCACTCTGACGTCACCTGGTGCAAGCCCTTGGGGTTGGGGTTCACACAGGGGCACAGATAATAACAGTGGCTTTGGGAAGGCTGTGATGTCCATGGCCAGGAAGTCAGGAACAGACACAGGTGTGTTAGCTGGGGGAGCATCTGGCCCTTTCAAGGGAAAAGTGGGCAGAGTGGGGGACAGACCGTAGTCTCCTCCCTTACAGCCACTAGACTGGAGTTGTGGGTCTGCCCGTGAGCCCTGGTGCTAAACAGATACACTGTTGGGTCATGTGAGTTACGTGGACTCACAAAGCGAAGACTCATGCCTCAGAGAGGGGCACTGGTTCCAGGGTGACGTGGAAAGACAGGGAGGGCGTGTGTGTGACATGCTACAGAGCCGCCCAGGAAGGGTCCTCACGTGTGGGTCTCAACGTGTGGGACCCATGTGGAGTTCAGTAGTGGAGAAGGACCTAACTTGGGGCTCCCTTCTCTAACATTAGAAACCTGTTTTTCTTTAAAAACGGCAAACACACACTTGGGATTTAAGACTTAAAAGTGACCCTGGAAACAGAAGTCAAGGAGGCGTCGATCTTGTGGGCCCACAGAGCAGTGAGGGAGGAGGCATCGCACACTCAGAAGTGGGGTCCCAGTGCCAGGCTGAGGGAGGGGACACCTGTTAGCGTGTCCAGTGCATGCACAGCCCTAGTTTTATGTAACGAGCTGATTTTCACCTCGGAGTCTTGCCTTTTTCTCCTTATAATAAGGAAAGATGCAGACAGACCTATGCCAACACTCCGCTGCTCTACTTTCCCACCGACGAGCCCTACTCAGCTCATTTTCTTGGCATAATGGAAAGATCGCCTGACAGGCAGGGCCATGGATATTCATCAGCCCTGCAGGGTGCAGGTAGTTCATCGTTAAAACAGCCAGGCCAGAAGCCAGACCAGAACCCAAGTCAAAACCTAGACCAGAGAAAAGAAGAGAGATGGAGAGGTGGAGAAAGAGAAATGGAGACAGACAGACAAGAGATGACAGTGCCCTGGCCCCACCATCACAGGGAAGAGAACTCTGCTCAGACACAGGGTCCCATCCTCTGAGATGGGATGGGCACGCTCTGCATGGAGAAAACAGGGGACCGAAGGCAGGAGTGCTGGGCCCACACTGGCATCAGGAGCGTTGGGGCAAATGGGATCATGGGCAGGAGAAAGGCCCCGTGGGAGGGGCAGCTGGAAACACAGGCTCTTGTTTGTCTCAGAGACCCTGATGCTTTACAAGTGGGGACTGGGGAGGGGCCTTCATGGGAAAGAGCACAAACGTAAAATGCGATGTTTGGTTCTGGCTGAAAGGTATTCAAACCCAGGCAGCTGAGAAGGAAAAGCTGTCAGAGCAGGCACCTGGCCTTCCGTCTCAGGACACCCGGCCTTCCGTCTCAGGACACCCTGCCTTCCGTCTCAGGACACCCAGCCCTGCCCAGCAAGCGTGCTTAGCGCATTTGCTGAACGGAAACATACATGGGTAGATTTTGAAAACCATGTGGAGAAAGATGTTTCTGAACAGTTTAGTGAAAACTAAAGGGCTTCCTTAGTTACACCTGCAGGGTTTACTTTAGAATGTTCGAGATTCAGAAAAAGCCTGTCCAGATGCCCCGGGTCTCAGTGGCCTGAGGTTCCAGAAGTTGAACAATGGGGAGGACTGGAGAAGAGGTCCGAGCAAGCCTTTCCACCTGAGGTCAGCCAGCCCCAACTGAGTGCCCGGTAGGAGCCCGGGCATCCGGTAACTGCCCCGGTGCACACCTCGCCCTTGCTGCCACCTGGGTGCAGGCAGAGCGGCTCCCCACATGGGTGTGGCAAGGTGCTCGGAACACTAAGGCCACAGGCCAAAGGGCTCTTAACTCATCCGATCGTCCCTCATCCTTCATTTTCCTTTTCTTTCTATGAACATTCTCAAATCAGAAAAAAAGAAAAAAAAGAAAAAAATTGCCAGGGGGTGGCCAGGCCTCTGTCAAACCCTGACGTGTTCAGGACCCTGTGCAGGACCCCTCGGTACATCCGTGAGGAAATGTACATCCTCAGACTCACATGGGGCACCCTATGGCTCCTTGTTATGAAAATGCCCCTGCTTCCTGCCACCTCGGCTGCCCAACCACGGGGATTAGAGCAGCAGCGGCGTTTTGGAGCAGCTCACAGCTCACAGCACACCGGGCCCCTGGGGAACCATTAGGCCCCGATCCTGGTGACCTGCAGAAAATAATAAGCAGCTTGTCCCTCAGACTCTAGCCAGTGACTCACTCACTCAAGTTTCATTTAACGAGCTGCTGTTTGGAAAGGGCCGAAGTTTCTAACGTGAGCCAAGGGTCAGCTCTGAGAGGGACTGGGAATGTGGCAGGTGCAAAATAGCACAGAGCTGGGGAAAGTGAAGCAGCCCCTAAGAAGTCAGTGCTCTCCCTGCAGCTAATTCACCTGACTTATCTCTTAGCATTTATCCCGCTCTTACATTTACCATTTGGTTCTGGACATCAGCCACCTACGCCCTTAAACTGCTACAGCTCCCTCCTCCCCTCTCATAGTAGAGTTTTTTAAAAGCCAATCTTCCCTAGTAGAAACTCAGAGAGTCAAAATACGCTCATAAGTATGGCACATGCTTTGATAATTTTGCTTAAAATGCACCAGAATCTACCTTAACACTGGCCCCACGTTTCTTAGAAACACAGCTCACTGTTCAAGTAGCCAAGCAGCCGGGCATTCTTAATACCGTGGAACTTCTTAAGAAAGTCTGGAATTATTAATGCCCTCTGGATTTCAGGCTCGGCGAGCTCACTGACGTCACTATGAAGGAAGGATGTCCACTTTGCACTGGTTTTCATGAAACCTGGTGGCCTATCGTCCCGAGAGGCCATCACTGTTGAGTTCACTAAAAATAGCTGTGCACCTGGGTGGTCCCTGGATCTGTGTCACATGACACAGGGCATTGAGGAGGAGTGTGAGGGTCGGTCAGGCTGCACTTGATCCTGAGGTCCTAGTGGCCCTCACAGGAACTCTGAACCTGTTGCTTACACTTCTCCAGCCTTGGTTTTCTCATTGATGATGTGGGAACAATGCCCAACGGTTGTTGGGGACTCGATGAGGCGGGTCAGGCTACCCACCCACGATGAGCACACAGGGCCGGCCGGACCCTCCCTCTAAGACAAGACATGCAGTCCTGTGACCTTGGGCAAGTTCCACACGTCTCCCCTCTCCTCTCTCATGGGGCCCATCGGGGTGAGGCATTTGGAACAATGCCTGGCACCCAGGAG